GTTTAAAGAACTCTTCATTTGATTGATAGCTCGAGTGATGACTTAAGCAGCATATTTTCGTGTCATCGGACCAAATTCACGTGCTGGAGAAGACCCACAAAGTCTTGTGTACTTATCGTACGTCCAGTAATATCATCTAGATTCCGTTCAGTTAATCGAACTTTGATTCTGGCATTGGGTTCGTGCACTCAGAACCGTGGATGTTCACCATTTGCAATACGCGAATACCGCTGCAGACATGCTGAAGATACGATATATGTGCTTTTGGTTTGCCCGTTTAACAGCGCAGAATCGGGTTCACTCCGATATCGAAGATGCTCGCGAAGTACGTGCTGTCATCAGTCTAATTCACGACTCGGGGGAGATAGGGAGAGAAGAGGTTGGGACGGATGTAACGGGTTTTCATGCGCCCTGATATGAAGATTGTGGATCGCACAAGATGGTGTTATTAAACATTGGTGTGGCTTTCACCAGATAGAGTGTCCACACATTGGTCTGGCTACACTTAAACAAGAAGTCAGTATGTGGCTGGACTGCCAGTAGTCATACATTTGATTAGTTTCTTCGATATAGATCGGAATACCTATCAATTTAGATATAGGCGGCTTCGCTTCAAAAAAAATCGAGAATTACAGTTTACGTTTCAAACGTAAGAATTAATTAGTTGTGGGTTAAGGTTGTAATTACTCTTGGAGGAACTGGGTTACGATACGCTACACTCGTTCTGGTTTTATGTGTAAAGTCATCTGCCTTGACCAAGCTTCCTCTAAGCGAAAGAGCTACGCCAGCGTAGCACTTGGAGTCAATCTACACCTGAGTCGTTACGACTGACCCTCTGTGAGGATGGTGCAGCTCTCTATTTCCCCCAAGGCATGCAGGACGGGCTTCATTAGATGATGTCTCTGTTTGGTCCAATGGGCGTGCAACATTCCGCTCCGCAAGGACCTGACGTGATCAACGCGCGCATAGAGGCGCGATTTCTGGCCTGAAAATTTTCTGCTAGAGCACTTACGGCAGAATACGTCGGCGTCGACTGCGTCGATGACGTCAACGTCGACGAATGATGACCCCCACCGAGCTGGACGAGATGTCCTTTGAGGGCTTCTGCCTTCCGACCTCTGCCCAAGGCACCTAGCTTTATCATTGCTATCAATTTTGGTCAGTCCTATCTCCTACATGAAAGCTATCGCAGCTTCGTGCCAGCACCAAAAGCGCTTCCATTTCTGATATAGGTGAGTGCATTACTCGCAAATAGGCCTCCCGATGGAGCAAAAAGGGTGATCGTACATCGCAGTCTTTGAATTGAATCTCTTTTAAGGCGAGGATAGACGACTGAATGTCGTGATTCTGAAGTGTACCTCTGGCGGGGCAGTAATGATCAGCTCTGAGCTGTGATCTTCTGTACCAGGATCGATGGAGTGGGGAAGCGATTGGTCGCGCAGCCTTCCCTGTCAAGATTGTGGAGTTGAAGGGCGACTGCAAGACGCAAGTATAAGAGTTTCACTCTGAAGATAAGAGTAAAAAATTGTCGTGACGGTACTGTTGGGTCTGCACTACTGTGTAATGGGCCCACCGCGCAGCACAGTGAAGCTGCATGGGTAAATGGCGGAGTAACAAGGATATTCAAAGGGTTTGTAAATCTTTCAGCAGAAGACTTATATAGGCTGGGGAGAGTTTTCTTTTGGATTATGTACTAGAAATTGCAAGACGGTGTAGTCACCAAAATGGCACGGTTTAAGCAAAGGAACAGCTGAGCTCATCATATGTCGTGATCAGACGGGGTTACACGCACCCTGGTATAAAAGGTTGGTCACACAAGATGGTGTGCCCGTACAAAGGTGTTAGTTACACAAGACGGTGTAAGTACACAAAGTTGTAGCTAAACTTTAATAAGAAGCCACTACCTGACGGGACTGCCCGAAGTTATGCATATTTTTAGTTTTACTATTTAACTATGAAAACTTTTAAATTTAGATAAAGGCGGCTCTGCAGCAAATAAATTTTAACGGAAGAATACATTTACCTTGGGTGACGGTTTTGGGGTACGCTTGGAGGTAGCAGGTTGCGATCCGCTACAATCGTGGGAGTTTGAGGTGCCACTTCGGCAAGTCGTGAACGCTTATGATCCGAGGGATCATAGAGTTCCGCGTTGTCTTACACTCCGCGCTTCTCGTGAGTAGCCATGGAAGCCAAAGGGTCATGAGATGAGCCCGAGCAATGGCTCTGACTTGCGATGGTCGCAGAGATTCACCTGTGTGAAAAAAACACAGAGCTCGCCGGAGCGTGATGGGTTATTCCATATGTCGCAAGGCGATAATACTAAGGAAGTCGGCGTTGCGCCTTGAGTTTGGCAAACTCGAACCGAAGATAACGTTTCACGCGAGCGTCCACCTCTCTGTAAGTTGCCAAGCGAGAAATGAGCTCGGTGCCGCTGCATCCATCGCTCAAAGAGCTCCTCATCATCGCAGCGATTTCGCCTTGAGCAAGCACCACAGGAATAGTTCGCAATACGGGACCCTCTTTGAGCTCGAACTCGATCGCGGAACCTATTCATTGGATTTTCTTGAGGTATCAAGAAGCGAGCTTCGAGAGCTTATCGTTGGTCAAGCTCAACTTGTGTAGTGGCCGGAGGCCCGATCACGTAGACGCCCACCGGGTAGAGTGATCGTGTCCTTCGCTTCCGCAGTGGGATCCGCCGAACGGAAGCCATATTCCACACGAGGGCCAAGGACCGATTGTAGATGCGCGCGCATAGCCGCCCTGCGGGCAGCCCCCAGCTGCTGCTTCTGTACCTCCTAGAGGCGATCGGTAAATGATACCATTTCGCCTGGAAATCGAGAGGTTGGGA